TTGTGTAATAAATTGTGACATTACGTTTACCGTCCGTTAAGGGCCGCATAGCCTGACCGAACAGTGCAGTCTAGCATCCTGAGTCCTTTCACATTTTGGGGGGCGGACGCATCTGCGCTTTTTTTCCCGCGACGTTGGTTGCTCACGTCGCCGTTGGTTGTTCCGCGTCGCCGTTGTCGTTTTCCCGTTTTTATGTATTCCCGTACCAAGGGTTACAGAGGCGACTCCCGCGATCTTGACAGAATGACGCCACCTCACCGGAGAAAAGAGGAGGAAGAAGACCAGGATTGGGAGTCAAGAGACGACCGCTGCTGATGGACCCGCCGGGGGTGCACGACACCTGACCCCGGGTTGCACGCAGGTGATATTCTTCATTATTATGCCCTTTTTATTATCGCAAGGCATTTCCTATCGCACCCTCTTCCAGGCGCAAAGCGGATCGACAGTTGGAACGGCATGACGGGGAAGGCCACTCTACACCCCAAGGACGGCGAGAGTCCCGAATAGGCACCTCGAGGCCACGAGACGGCCCGAAAAAAACTCCTGCAATCTCTCGAATTTCGCGCGCCAGAACACGGGCATGACGCGGTTCCCGCGATTAGCGGAGCCACGGAGCCACGCGCTAATCAGGCGAGATAAGGCCCCCTCGCGGGGATAACGAGCCCTGCGTGCGCCCGGGAGGATTAGCGCCCGGCATTTGAGCTGTGGCCCGCTTGGCGAAAGCACGTGAGAGGACGCGAAGGAGACGAGAGCTTTCCAAGGTCGACCCGGACGAGCACCTGCGAGGGAGTCACGGTGAGACGAGCGTCACAATTGTAAAGTCGCCGGTTTCCGTGTCCGGGAGGCGTAGTCTTATCGGAATTCTGTGTATGATAGTGAGTGCACGTGGCATTGCCATGCGGTAGATTTTCGGGGATTTCAAGTACGCGTGTCGTCTCCCGGAACGGGATAATCCTATTGCGTCTGCCAAGGCCACAGTCTCGTCACTCGTTGTCGGTTTTTTATCGCGGATCACATGTCGAAGTTCCATACCGTGATATTGTCGCGTATCGTGTTATCTATAGCGTAAGATTTGCATGTCTATTAGGGCGTCGACTCTCTGTATCATAGCCATTAACGACAATTTATAATAGCAATTGGTCATTGTGCGTATTTTGTCGTATTGAGACTGCGTAATGTCGAATTTGCACACATTCGAGCTTTCTCTGTATTTCAGCTGAGCGGCGCGAGGCCCCGCGAGCGCGCACGAGGTCACGCCGTGTCCACGCTATCATCGTTGCCGAATTGCCTAGTACTTTCGAGGCGAAGAAATCTTGTTCGTATTATTCGCGAGAGTATTCCTGTGTGGTGTAAGCTCGTGCCGCGAGGAACGAAGTTGATACGCCTAGCGTAAAACCTCGGGGCCTACGTAAATCCGTTATCGCGCTCAAGTAGAGCTTATCGTCTCGATTGTATCGCCAGATGTAAATGCAAGTCGAAGACATTTAATATATTTGTTACTTTTACTATTATTGATTCGTGTGTACTTTATTCTCGCCCCTATTCACTCCTCCAAACGACCCGTTATCCTCTACCACGAATCGCCCCCTCTACCATTTCTTAGGCTGAGCTACTGGTTGAGAGCCCGTCGACATTCACAGCTCATTAGAATATGGCATAAAGAAAATATCGCGTAATCTCGAGAAAGAGTGGCACGCTCACTCGTGCCTGGCGCCCAACTATTGGTTGTAATTGTGTGCCGCTCTTAAGAGCGGTGTATTTCTGTCGCGTTCCATTTAATGCCACCCGTCATCCGATCTACGAAAGTCTTAGCTGTGAGTGTGCGACGAAGTTGCGCCACGCTCGTGAGTGCGGTTGCAAGGTCTACTGGGGAAACCATATTAAAAAAAAAATCTTACCATAGTTACGGGTGATGTGAAATGTACGTTATCATAACCATTGTCAAAATGTACGTTACTATAATTATGTAATGTATTAGAAAACTACGTTAAGTATATCATAAGTATATCATTAAAGAACAATTAACAATTAACAATAGAAAACATTAATAAATAACAGTAAAATTCAGGTCAATATAAATTAAACGAGCTACAGCTAGGTGTACTAAATAATATTTATTAATCACAAATTATAATTTTCCGACGATAAATTTCAACGGTACGTTTCAACTATATCTTTAGTCCTTATCGACTGCAGAAATACATAAATATCTAATTATAAATATCAAATATCTAATTATATTAACATATTATGAGAAACATCTCACATTCGAGTTACAATAGACAATATAACAGATTTCTAAAAATCATCTCACCTCCGTGTTACAAAGGATCATATGAGGGCAAGTCAATAAGTTCTTAGAAAATCTGTCAGAGGGCACTCGCCTATATTCTCTATATTACAATTACAATTTTAATATAATCTATATTACAATTTTAATAGACTACTGCTAATTTGCCATTATATATTAGGTGTTGGAATTAATTCGTAGCGTTTTTTAATGAAAGAATGTTATTTATTTCACATGAGCATTAAAAAATACATTAATGAAAGTACTTCCCATCACTTGTAAAACGCTACGAATTAATTCCAACACCTAATATAATTTGTATTTACCTTCATATTAATTTTTTCTATCAATATTATTAAGGACGTATACAATCTTTTATATAATTTGACATCAAGCTACATCATGATTGGAATTTATTCATTTATTCATATTGACTGCTCTTTTTCGCTATTAACCGATGAATTGATTCGGAATCATGACTCTTCACTACATCGTTTATTTTTATCAAATTCGACTACATATGATATACCGTCGAACGTCGTTGCGATATACCGTCTTTTATAACACAGAGGTGAGATGATTCTTAGAAATCTGTTATATTATCTATTGTAACTCGAATGTGAGATGTTCCTCATAATATGTTAATATAATTAGATATATGTATTTCTGCGGCTGATGAAGACTAAGTATAATCGAAACGTATCGTCGTTGAAACTTGTCGTCGGAAAATTATAATTTGTGATTAATAAATATTATTTAGTACCTAGCTGTAGCTCGTTTAATGTATTGACCTGAGTTTTACTACTATTTATTAATTTGTTGTACGTTATACGAGCGAAAAGAGTTGATATTATTTATATTGTAAACAATAGAAAATTTTATGTTAATAAAAATTAATTATTTAATAAAAAACATGCATTAATAATAATTTGGCGGAAGATGCGCTCCCAGTATATTTCTGATATAGGGACGCTCCCGAGTCAGAGCGTCACATGAGCGCTCGGCGGCTCGTCCGTTGAACCTCGAGTGGTGATGAGGATCGCTCATCGGAATCAGCCCGAAATGTGCAAATCTTTGCGAGTACTAATATATATAATAAAATAATAATTAATCAAATTACAAAGTGCACAAAAGTTTTCGATTCTTAATTTTAAATAAATTATGGGGCTAATACTTTTGAAAAAATGATATACTTTTCACAATCTAGAGAGCTAGCTAAGTAATAAAAAATATTTAAGTACATTTTTGAAATCTATTTTTTATTTGATATTTTAACCCTTAAATATTAAGGTAAAATAACGACACTTGAGGTTGGTCCTTGAGACATTGATTAAAAAAATCAGAATAAAAACAGCAATTAAAATAATCAGTTAAAGGGCAGAGTACAAGCAAGATATTCTTCGCTATCATTATTAAATATTAAAAATATTTAACTAAAAATACAAATACAGACATTTCGACCTATCCGATCATTTTCAATGTAACATATGCAGTTTACATTAAAATAATTACAATATCAAAAATTCTAGAAAAGTCAAGCGCTTATAAATCTTCAATTCTGAAGCAACTGTGTAATCCGAAGACCTTGATGTGATCGCAAGAAGTTATAGGATCTTTTTTTAAACTTGTCATTCCACTTCTTACTACAGCATATAAATTAAAGATTAGATATTATAATGATATTAGCCAGCACACTCAGAAAAAACGTCTTACTAATATTGTTAATAATCATATAAGGGCAGTGTTACGTCTTGAACTTAAGGATGCTTATTACCAGCTTAACCAGAACAGATTTAATATATTCAAGAGTTATATCATTTCCAAATTTTTATCTTTTTATTTTATTAATATCTTCTTTGCTCATCAAAAAAAGAATAGTCTCCAACTGTGGAATAAAGAAAGAATTAGGATTGATAATAAAATTGGATGGCTGAGTAAAGATTAGTTATAACAAGAAACGTGAAATTCGATCTATAGAATATATAGTCTATAGAATATCGGGTGGCATTAAGGAGAATTATCCCGGACGAGAGCCAATTCGAACCTGTTATAAATAACACTGTTTCTTCCTGTCCAATCGATTTACATAATATAAATTCTTCCTGATAAATTTGAATCCGAATCCAAACTTGATATGATAAGTGGCTTATTGATCTTAATAATTCTGAAGTACCACATAATGTGAAATATTGCAACTAGGTGAATTACACGGTTCGGATTACCACTAACAGAATACAATAAAGAAAATACTTGTCTGGAATTTATTAAACAAGTTGAATGCAGTATTTCAGGGAAACAGTCTTTTGTTAGTAAAATCATTCGGTTTCGGCTATTAATGGGTTTATGCAAAATATCCCAGCTCACACTCCTGAAGAAAAATATATCAATAATTATTTAAAATCTATTGACGAATTTATTAAAAAGAATCAAAATATTCTTATTGCCAGAGCGGATAAAGGTAATGCTACAGTTTTACTAAATAGAAACGAATATTTGAATAAAATAGAACAAATGTTAGCTGACAAAGATACGTACGAAGTGATTTCTAAAGATCCTTCCAAAAAACTAACTAATGACATATATAACCTTATTAGTAGATGGAAGAAGAAGAATTACATCGATAAACTTATTTATAAAAGGTTACGCATCACTGACGAAATAGTATCGAAGGCATATGGACTTCCTAAAATTCACAAGCTCCTTTTATTGTCTCTTCGATTAACAACCCACTATTTTCACTTTCTCTTTTCTTACATTTCATTATAAAAAACAGCAATGAAGCACGCAATCAAGTGGAAAATAGCTTCCAAGTAACTTCTTAGTTGATAAGCTAAATGAAATTTATTTTGAGACTGACTATCAATTGGCCTTTTTAGATGTTGTTTCGTTTTTTACCAACATACCAGCAGAATTGAAAATATTGAGAGGAGATGAGAGAATATTTCAAGGAACATAAAAATTCCTAAAAAAGAATTTTTTATAGCTATTAAATTAATATTGGAATCCATCTATTTTTCCTTTAATAAGAGATTTTATAGACAGGTTTTTGGTTCTCCTATGGGCTCTCCATTGTCACCGATCATAACAAAGTTATGGAAGATTTGAAAGAAAAAGCATTCCAATTATTGCCGTGTCGTTTACTCTTTTACTTTAGATATGTAGACGATATTATTACTCGCTGCTCTTCCAGGCAGTTTAAATAAAATATTAGAAGTTTTTAACTCGTTCCATGAATGCCTTCAATTCACGCTTGAAGTCGGCATTGACAATAGTCTGAATTTTTTAGATGTGAGCCTTATTGTTGACGAGCATAGAATTATATTTAACATCTGTAGAAAACCTACATTTTCTGAAAAATATCTTAATTCACAACATCCTGTCTATCATAAAAGAGATGTAATTTTTAATTTATTTGACAAAATTTTCTTTTTATCCACCCGAAATTCCATTTTAAGAATATTACTGATATGATACAGGTTTTGTTAAAGAACGGATATCCTCTTCCTTTTATATTCTCTTCAATTCAAATGAGAATTAAATTCCATTCTAGCAATAGTAAGACCATCAAAAATTAAGTGAGAGAGTATAATAAGTACTTAACTGTATCTTTGGTAAAGACCATCTCGGAATCTTTTTCCAACATAACCAAAAGTATTAATTTAAAACCTGCATTTACGATTCCGAACACTTTGAAAAAATACATCACAACTGAAAAAGATACTCTTGAGACAATAGCACATCAGGATATTGTCTATAGGATCTCATGCCATGATTGTGATGCATCATACATTGGTAGGCTAGACAAAAAGATAATTAAAAACAAGAATTGCAGAGCACTCGTCGGATATTAATAAAAAATCAGGCTCACCAAGTGTCATATCTAAACACCGGACCTCACTTAATCATAATTTTGATTGGAACAATGTCAGAATTTTAAATAACGAACCATCTTATAGCAAAAGACTGACTTCCGAGATGATTTTTATAAGGAGACAAAAGAATGGACTTAATTTATAAAGTGACACAGAATCGTTGCCAGAAATATACTCTCTCGTTATACAAGCACTTTCTCGTTCCTGAATGTTCCTTGTCACCTTTTCCCTCTCCTTCGAATTTCCTCACCACTCACATTTGTCGATTTTTACTTGTATCTTTATCAGTTAAAATAAGTTGTCAAAAAGCGGAAGGACATGACACAATTTATACCTTTTGAGTTCTGGTCTTA